TTATTTTGTTTTCATATTTCTTTCTTTTTCTCCCTTTATTTGCTTGCTTGTTTCGTGTTTCTATCTTCTTTTATATAATCACAACATAAAGAATTAAAAGACTCTAAAGAAGATCTTAAAACACTCAAGGTAATTACATTTTATTTTTATTTATTCATTTTATTTTTATTTATTTACTTTGTTTCTATATTTCTTTCTTTTTCTCCTTTTAATTGCTTTCTTGTTTTGTGCTTTTATCTTCTTGTATATAATCACAACACAAAGAATTAAAAGATTCTGAAGAAGATCTTAAAACACTCAAGGTAATTCTATTTTTTATATTTTTTTATTTTGTTTTTATTTGTTTGTTTTCTCTTTTGTATTTGTCTCTTATTCACCTTTCATTTGCATATTTGTTTTACATTTTTTCTTCTTTCTCTTGTATATTATAAAATTTTCATAGAACCTGTGTTTCATATCCAAATCGTGTTCAATATATTTTTTTTTAAATTTCCTTTTTTATATTGAATTTCTACAGAACCTGACTTATACTATAACACCATTCTTCTTATTTTATATATTTTAATATATTTTATTAAATTTCTTTTGTTTAGGAAGCATGGGATCTAAGTGTATACGTAGATAGCTGGTTTGAGGCGTGGAAAGCTACTCTATGGGAAACGATAGATACAGAGTTGCTGCTGCAGCACGTGAAGGCGATGCAGCAGCATATAAGAGGGCTTTCTAAGGAAATTAAATCAACAAAAGTATATGGGGTTAGTTATTTTATTTTGATTTATATTTTTTATCTATTTATTTAAACAAATATACGCAAATGAAACAATATACGCAAAAAAACACGCACATGAAAAAACTAAGCGATGCACAGAACAAACACCAATCCTACTAAGCAACAAACAAAAAAACAAAAATTTAATTAAAAATACAGCAATGTAAAACAAACAAAAGAAATACTAAGAAACAGAAAACAAACAACAAGATGTTTAGTTTTTTTCTTTTTGTAGATGTATAATAAACAAGAAGAACTAAGCAACAATATGAAACCAAACGGCCCCCTCAACCCACCAAAGCAAGCAACCAAAAAAATAAGAATATATTGTACCTATAACTATATAAATATAAATATAAATATATATATATATATATATATATATATATTTCTTTTATTTCAGGCTGTATTAGAAAGAGTAAACAACATGCACGTGGTGCTTCCTCTCGTTTCTGAATTGCATTCTGAATTTATGAGAGATCGGCATTGGAAGCAACTGATGAGCATTTCAGGAAAAACATTTACAATAGGTTTGTTTATTATTTATAAAATATTTTATTTTTTTTTATTTTATTTATTTATTTATTTATTTGTTTGCCTGTTTGCTTCTCTGTTTGCTTGTCTGTTTGCTTGCTTGCCTGCTTGTTGTTTCTTTCTTTCTTTCTTTCTTTCTTTCTTTTTGTTTCTCCGTTTACTAAGTGGAGATTTAATGCCGTTGCTGGTTGTTTGTGGTTTTGTTTTTGTTTCTC